CCCTACACATTCACAATGCTCCAGGCAGCGCTCAGAAAGGCAAGGACCTGTTCACTTCTTCCAAGGTATTTTCTCACTGTATTTTCAAACGTTTCTTCTACAAAAGTTTAAGCTAATGTTTTGATTACAACGTTCTCAACATAAAGCACATTTTCTCATAAATAAATGAAATCCTTTCACTCAGGCACCTCAGAAGTATACAAAAATGTTGTGATCTGAACAGTTCTCTTGGAATGTGTTTACTCTGGGGTTTTCAGCAATGTTCGTATTTCCAGGGTTTCATATGGGCCAGATTTCATTTGTTTTGTTTTCCAGAGGCAAAACAAAGTGCCTTGAGAGGTGAACCCAGTTGTTTTCCTATAGAAAAAGTATTTGCTGTATTTATCTTTTATAGAAACAGAAAAATATACCATTTCCCCCTCAGAACAGTGAGGGTACACATATATGTGCATGCGTGCGTTAATGTGTGTGAGATGTAACACATTTTAAACACACAACGTAAGGTTTCATAGTGTGTATTCAAACAAAAATCTGGAAACCAGCATGAAACCCCGTATTTCACATGTCAAATGTTGAACCTGTAACCAAAATATGAAGAAACTGCTATAGCTGTCAGAAAAAAGACAAGACAAAAAGCTTTCTTGCTTACATACAACTAGGTGTGGTAATCTCCAAAAAAGTTGTCAAAATTATAATTACCTTCCAGTTTAAAAACTTTTATTCTAAATAAAAAAAACTATACACAAACCACTGATTTGACCAAACGAAAGTTCAGCGGTAAGCAGGACCTGAAGGAGCTGGTATTCACAGTTCTTATCATGTACAACTCTTTCAAGGTTCGATCCATGGAGAAGTTTATTTTACAACCTGCTTCTTTTTGTAAAACTAAAGGTCCACTTTATTACATAAAATTATTTATACAGTGTAAAACCGGAGCCTTATGGAAAATACTGCATCTAAGTGTATTTAAATTAGTCTTGCTCCATAGGTTCATCTGCAGCTTCTGTGGCTTCGTCGCTGTTTTCCATGGGGGTCTCTGCTGAGGTTTCTGGAGTTTCACTGCCGTAGGACCCTGACTCCTCCGTTTCCCTGCAGCCAGCCCCACTGCTGGCAGATCCAATTTCACTGTCATCTGCGTGCAAATCCTTCTCAGCTTGGGACGGATCTGACTCCTCCATCTGATTGCTCTCCTCAGAGCTCTCTTCGTTCACAGTTGAGGATTCAGTGTCTTTTTCTGGTTCTTTTCTGTCTGGACCAACGTTTCTGGGAGACATGAAGGACTCTAGAAATGGTGAAAGTACAGTATTACTAAGGCATTTCTAAACACATCTTCACCCTTGCTGCTTTTGCTATGCTGAGCAATACTTGTACAACACAGCCAAGGACAGGAAAACTGACAATCCCCAGTATTATCAGATGTCAAGTACTGGCCAACTTCATCAGGATAGTCAAACTATCATCATATCCCATAAAATGAGTTGGGTTTTTTATTAAATAGGTGGCTTCACTTAATTCAGCTTCAGTGGAGAAAGACACAGTCGAACAAGTAACTTTCCTGGTTTCCCACTTTCCTTCTTTTGTCCTCAGCAGCAGTCTTTTGGAAATAGTGGAAGTGTTACTGCTTTAAGTGTACATCCACTATGACCTAGAGAACATTTTACAAATACATGATCCACAGAAAATAAATATTAAAATGAAACTTTAACAAATATGTGCAAAACATTTCTTAACTGCATTATCTTTCTTTAATCAGCTGCAGGACATGCCTTCAAATAAGGTAATTCTCTAACATGACCCAGAAGGATTGTTGCTCAACCTCCTCAGTGAAAGAACAGAACTTTATATCCATATTTCAGTCATTTATTCATAATAAAGACAGTCAAACATAGATATGACCCATGCCCATTCTGGTGAATGGATCAGAGCATCTGATGATGTCCTAAAGTAGGACAGACTCCTGAATTCTGAGTGCCTCATTTCCACCCTCGTGTACTTTATTGCCTAAGAAGATTTTAAGTACCATTTTATAATTTTTTAAATAGAGATGTAGGACAAAGAAAAAAGAAATAAGAGAACTGCTAAATCATGCAAAATGGAAGCATGAACAAGCACATCTTTATGCACAACAGGAGAGATTCAGCAATGCCAACAGCATTGGCCTCCAACGAAGAAGTTCCCAGCTCCTTGGGAAAAATGTGCAGAGCAAAGATAATAAAATCTGAAATACCTTCCTCCTCTTCCTCCGTACAGTGCTTTCGGGCACTAGCAGCATCATTTTCTTTATCCTGAGATGTAGAGGATGTTTCTGTCTCTTCCCCCATGCCTACAGAAACTTCACTGGAGGCAGTTTGGTTTGGTGCATCTCTGGCTTCCCCTTCCTTGTCAAATTTAAGTCTTTTTACCTCATGGCCTTCAGCTTCTGCAGGATCATCCTCAGAGTGCTTATTTTTTACTGGGCTGCTCTGCGTACCTTCCGATTCAGATGCTGGTGATTCACTATACACAACAAAAGTTGATGTAGTTTTTATTGAAGAAAAACATTCTGGATCTTGTCACACTTTAAAAAAAACAAGTAGCAGCTACTTCAAGTTAAAACACTCTGCAAGAGGTAACAGCAGAACTCACTTCACTTATAACAAAACATCAAAGCCATTACTACTCCTTCACCTGGTTACCAGTGAAAATGCAGAGTGGTCGGGCTGCTCTGGTGGGTCCAAGTTACAGACGGCTCCTGCTGTCAGAATCAGGGCCAAACATTTATGGAATATCGTGTCTGGTTATAGTTTAACATCCTAACACACATATGGTAACTGTGGGTTTCTGAACGCTATTATTCATTCTTCATTTTTACTATACATCCCATACAGTTATGAGATGTGTTACTACTGCAACTGTGGAAATTAAGAGTTATCTGGACAGCCCTAGCAGCAGTGAGTACATATCAAATCCTGCTGCAGATACTCGTATGTGAAGACTTAATTATGCAAAAGAGATGGCCATTCTTTTAAAATGTAAGTGAAAACAACCAAGAATAACAAAAACTCAAATACATTCCTCCTCACAAACCTGTGTTTTTTGTCTTCTGTTTGCTGCAAGCTCGATTCCTTATGCTCCGTGCTGTCTGGCAAACCGTTGGTTGTCATAGGAGTTGACAAAGAAACCTTCGGTCGATTTACTGGTCTGGGAGTTCCAGGACCATTTACATTGGATCTTTAAAAATAATAATAAAAAATTAACCAAATTAATAACAAAATATTTTTAGTAATTTGTTCTTAATAGAAAGAAAACAGTTATAACCTTGTTTTAAAAGATCACCAAAACTAAACAAAAAAGGTACTTTGCTATTTTATATTGAATAAAAAAATTCCATGCAAACTGTGATACAAACTTCAAATAAAAAAGAATTCTAAACAATAAGGTTGCAAAGACATCAACAAATAAAGTACTTAATGTGTATGTTCACACCTCCTCTACCCTTCCTTCCCCCAGAATTCCATGTCACACCCTATTTTTGAGGGTACCTATTTGGAATCAGAGTAGGACACAATAAGGGATCTTCTAACCCAGCTCTTTCCAGAACTGCCTTGTTTTTATCCAGGAAAAGTTACCTCCCAAAACTAAACTTACCTGTCAGAGTAATTTCCTGGAGAATTTCCTGGGAACATAACACCATTCATCCGATTTAAGCTATTGGAATTGTTTTTCCTAAATAAATAAATGGTAAGAATTACAATGTTATGAAAAAAGGAACTTTAAATTACTTCAAGCTTGTTTGCACAGAATTACACTCATCTCCCACTGTCAGTGCTCAAGGGGTTCTCTATCTATACATTACTCTTGGGAAACAGGCTAGGATATGAATTTGGAGCACAACCATCATCGAGGGGTATCCATTTTTTCCACCACCAGCTATCGTATAAACCAACAGCTTAGTGTTCCTGGAAAATACTGCACTGCAGCATACATCCAGTTCTAAAGTCTGGTCATTTCCAAACTGCTACACATCTCACAGAACATGGTCTGTCTTTTGATACAATTACTGCCAGCAACAGAAATACATTAGACACACACGTGCGCCTTCTTCCCTCTACTAACACAAACTTAAAGTTTCAAGAACAAGGAGATAATACTTACTCTGAAGATGGATATACACAGCTGACAACCATGACATTCTGTAATAAACAAACAACGTATTAAGAGCTCAGAAACAAAAGCTCCAGCTCTTGACAACACCCCAAAACATAACAGTGACACAATTTTAGTCATATCTGTTAAAGGTATCTCTACAGAAAACTGGGTTGAGAGCTACCAACAAATGGCAGCTACATAACAAGTGCCTCTTCTCCCACTTGACAAGGTCAAGCCATAACTACACTAAAAGTCAGTATTTTCGTAAGTGGGTTACTGCACATTAAGCCTCAGGCCCCAGTGTTCATAATTTCTAACTGAACTATCTCTGGAAAGCAAAGTATTGCGAAATGCTGAAAAACTTGTGAACTACTGGAGAAATGCTCAATTCGTATGCAAGTCCTGCATTCAAAAACGTGCAAGCACTATTAGCTGTTCTTGACACAGCCATATTTCAAATGTTCAATTATTTTGTCCCCACATGAACAAAGGGCAGAAACAATGATTAATGCTGTATGGTTTGCTTAGCTACCTCTCCCTCTTGAATGGCACTGTAAGCTAAATCAATGTTAACATCTAGAAACCTAGCTGAAAAATTAGGTAAGTTTCTCTCTTCGAATCAATATTTAGCCCAATTATACAGGAGGCATCTTTCCCAAGGCCAGCTAAATTAACCCAGATGAACTTTAATGATAGCTCTCCCTAAAACCTGAGGTGTGGTTTCACAGGTCTCATTGTTGGCTCAGAAACCGCTCTGTGAAATCTATGTCTCATCATTTATTCCTGACCATCTCCTTCCCATCCTAACTTGTAGGAACACACCTGACTGCACCCACTGTGCCAGTGAAAACCAACCCATTTACAAGTTCACCCTTCTTCAACCAAATCGTCTAAGTAGGAACCTCAAGCATGTTTTGCCCTCAAGAAAATGCTACTTAGAACCACATCCTGAAAGTCCATCATTTCCTTTTGAAAGATCTCAAAATCTGACAAACTATCAAATACCATTAAATGGTACCTGTTTGCTTTTACAAAGGCACAGCCCTCTACACAAGAGGATTTAAATGATGACACTAAAGACACTGGGAGGAGGGGGCCTCCCTTCTTCACCAACTGGACCTAATCTGAACCCAAGCAAGGAAGGAAATGCCTGATCCAATGATTCAAATTATTTCAGCTATTTAATTCTATCTAGGATTCAATATAAAAAGTGAAATTACACCCTCCACAAACTCCCATTTGAACACTGCACAGTGATTAGAAAACACAATAGTTACAGCCTCAAGATTTATTTTAATGTCTTAGATTATTTTAAAAGTGCTTTTTGATGTTAAAGGGAATGAAACAAACTCATGCACTTAGAGTAGCTATTAGCTGTATTATGGCTATGAGCCACAATGAAACTAACAGACTTTTGGGAGGAATTCAGAAGTGATCTAAGTGGTAGTTGTGACTGTTCAGCGATGTCCCCTCTCAGAAAAACACGTACCTTTTCCACACCTCTTAGAAATTTGTCTGTTCCTGTGTAATTCCTCCTAGGATCTGTCAGCAACTCACAGAGTCGCTGGATAGTGAAGGGGATGCTGCAATGAGATAGATTTATAACAATTTAATTTTATTTTCATGACTATGACTGTAGGAAACAACATTATTGCTTTCCTCCCCTACTGGGAAGACAGAAAGAAAACAGCACTGAAATCTGCTACCATTAGCAATAGAGGATAATAACTCAAGGCCTTATTTTTCCCTCTCTCATACACTGAGGTAACAAAGCACTGTTCTTGCACTCGCCACCACCGAACTCTTAAAGAGAATCCTAAATACATCATCCCACACCTCAAACAATTCATCAAAACAACGAAAAGGAAATCAGATCATCAACAGTAAAATAGTTTAAGACTGTATTTATTATTCAAATATATAGAACAGAAATGGTAAGCAATTCAAAACAAGTTTGAGTCATGGACACTAGAGCTAAAAAATTCTCAACCTGTAGTTTATTTCATGTTTTACAAAATACACTTACAGAAAAAGCATTAAACGTTGGAATTGGTAGAACCATTATACTTTAGCAGTTACAAATACTCTATTTTGCCACAACTGGACAGTAGACTTATCTATCAAAGAACACCTCAGTAAAAATAACTGAGTAAGAGTAAGACATATAAACCTGCAAGTATCACATTCACACGTTCTCTTTGCTGACAATTCTGCTCTCAATTTCATCCCTACTTAAATGAGAAATTGACCTTTCAGACAAGCAATACTTTACACACATTTATCAGTTACCTGAGATGTCACACACTTTCATTCAGTGTCACATTTTAACAAATTCGCATGACCTTTGACAAATATTAAGTATTAAAATACTTTAAAAGTTACTTCAATAAAATAATAATCATGCATTTTTACAGTTAGCTATTTGAAGTAAAACATTTCAACAATTCATCTAAGAGCATTTGATACAATACAATACTTAAGAACAATTTCTTGACTGGGAATATGACCGATACACCAAATCCAGAGCAGTACCAATGCACATTTACACACGTGTGTATATATATATCCCTACACTACGTTTTTGTAAAAATTCAACTTTTATTATTTCCTGAGGAACAGTACACAGTATCTTAAGCCTGTTTCATTAGCTAACACAGTATGTATCTCAAGTTTAGTTCATCAGCTAAAAAGCCACATCTTAAAGATGTGCAGATCTACCACTCCTTGAGTGCAAACAGGGCAGCACAGCCACAATTCATCACACAACACTACACTTCACTTGAACTAAAAACAAGCAGTAATTAGAAAGATAGCGATCAAGTCTCAGCAATTTGAGTTTTTCAGAACTGTCTGTATGTAGTGTTACAGAGGAAGTTCTGATCCTCACCTGAAGACAGGCGGTGGGGCTGCAACACAACACCCCTTAGCCCTAGTTCACCACAGCTCCCTGCAAACACAGAGGGTCTCACATTTACCTACTCGCCAACCCCTTCCCTTGCTGTTCTCCTGACCTACACCACACCAAGGTCTTTCCTTGGCTCTTCAGAATGGGAAGGTGGTGAAGTTAATCTCTGCCCGTGGGGGGGTTGGAACAGGGGACCTTTAAGGTCTCTTCCAACCCAAACCACTCCATGACTCCGTGATCTCCACCCATCGGCTGTGGAGAGGTAGAATACAGCTGATGAGACATTAAATACATTAAACACTCACAAAAAATAAAGCTATGAAGTGACGGTATTGCTAAGACATTTGTTTTAACGTGGTATTGCTTAGAAACAAGTGGCAAAAACTGAGTGTTTTGGCACACAGGCAAAACACATTTCACCTTCCTATTTTGAACCAGAAGTATTTCCTCCTCCCCATTCCCAAAATTTGATAAGTACAAACCAGAACAAACTGGAAACAAGAATTTTTTTAAATTCAGTTTATTATATGAAGACTCTTAAGCTTGACAATTCTCTCATTAATTTCCCTAAAGCTTCTTTAGTATCATCAAATGGTGCTGCTGTTCACAACTTTTGTTCAATCAGTAACCTTTCTGACACCCAAATTCTTCATGGTGTTCAGTTTCTGTGCAGTGCCCTCTTTTAATGAAATTCCCAGCTCTAACTCAGTCACAAAGAATTCATTTGATCCGTTCACTTTTTTACATAGCTCCAGCACTGACTGCACCTACTGTTTCTCACTGATGGCCATTCTGGTTTGGGGTTGACAAGTCCATAACTAACGACACTTGGTAATGTTTTCACAGACTAGAGCGTCCATTCAAGATCAATTTATTTCACAGAAACAAAAAATACAGTGTTAAATTATTTTTCATCAGCCAGATCTGTAAGAGATCCCGGGAATCGCTGCCTGGCTAATTTGTATTCAGCTGTACCAATGTGGACACCTGGAGCAGGAGGACAGAAGCATTCTGGAACATCAGGACAGTTCTGACTACACTCCAAGTGTGCAGCCTGCAGCTAACTCCAGAAGTAAAAGTCATCTTCCTGGTTTACTCTCAGCTCTAAAAGGTTTAAACAAAAGCCCAAACCAGTTCATTTCCCTCTAAAATTTTCCACAGCAAACTGAACTTCATTTATTGAGCAGCAGATGGCACCACGAGTCACACCACCACCTCCGCTGCATGTAATTTGTGCAACATTTGTGAAGTTAACCCAAAGTTAACTTCCCCCCTTGAATTCTTTTCAGAAAAACTATTATTTTTAAATACTTTAACAATATTATTTTAAAACAGAAGTAATTGAAGTTGGTGTAAATCTATTAATGAACACCAATGTAAAAGTTTGTGAGAAGTATTAGAATTGATCTTAAATGCTGAGAAATTTAATTAGTTCAGTACATGAGCTGCATGAACAGTCCTAATCTGCCTACTTAAGGGAACCACTTAAAATTCTATACGAACACACTCAAAACTGCACTTCCTAGCACTACAGTCCTGAATGAATTACAAACAAAAAATTCATTGTAAGGACAGGATTCAAGAGGGATCAGAAAAAGTTACTTATAACAGCTATATTAAAACATAGGAAAAAATACATACATTTAAAAGTGGATTATTTTTATCTTTTATGTCTACTTTATTCATGTTATGAAGACTCCTCTGTCATCAGAGGTCCCCAAAAACTTACCTCAGAACTTGCTGTTTCACTACCAAAGGCTAAAGAAAACGGCAAGTCTTTAAGAAGTTCCTACTCCAAAGCAATTCTAAAGTACAGCACGAGAATCTGGCTCTGCAAGGGTATTACACAGTGTCAAGTAAGATACAGTAAGACTAAACCAGCCAGTTTGTGGTTTCTTTATGAGACTCATGTAGAAAGACCCCAGAACAGGGGTCATTCCTAATTAAACTTATTTAACTTTTTAAAAAATTTTTAAAAATTCAATAATTTTAACGAAC